AATGGTTCTGCCTCTGTTGTCTGTCAGGTAGCTTAGGATCTTTTATATAAGAATCTCTGTTCCTAGCACTTTGGGAGACTGAGGCGTGCAGATCACGAGGTCAGGAGATCGAGACCATCCTGGCTAACACAGTGAAACCCAGCCTCTACTAAAAATACAAAAAATTAGCTGGGCATGGTGGCGGGCGCCTGTAGTCCCAGCTAAGTCCAGAGGCTGAGGCAGGAGAATGGCGTGAACCTGGGAGACGGAGCTTGCAGTGAGCCGAGATCACACCACTGCACTTCAGCCTGGGTGACAGAGTGAGACTCCATCTCAAAAAAAAAGTCTCTGTGATGCATTCTTTTAAAAGTTTAGTTTCAGGAAAAAAGACAGTTTTGCCAGATAAAATGGAATTGTTTGCTTCCTTTAATGAGAAAAGGGAATTTATATAATCTGTAAAGATTCTCTTATTAATTGGAAGCTCAGTTTACTATACTAAATTTAATATAGTACTCAATAACTAATACATTAGTATTTTTTGTAGTGTGATCCTGCCATCTCTATGTGATTTTTATTTTTTACATTTTTGTTTTTTTGACTATATGAGAAAAGTAGATAGATGTCTATGATAAATTTGGGATACTGGCACTAAATAGTATAATTGCTAGAGATTTAAATTCCAATCTGTACTTTCATCCTAAATTACATTTTAAAACATAAAGAGAATACAGATATTTAAAAGGTGAAGTGATTACTTTTTGTACACATACTTTAAAACAAAAGGTGTAGAAGCAGTTATAGGTAGATGTGACATAATATTTACATCTTTATCAGCAGCTTTTTGTGCTATAGTTCATTATAGTTAAATTGCCATGTGAAGTCAATTATTTTCTTTGTAATTCCTAAACAACTTGGGGAATTTGTGCTTTGTTTGCTTGCATATCTGTACCTGCATCTGTTCCTGTTTGCATGCCTGCAGGTATGTCTGTGTATTCATGCCTGTGTATGCTCACGAGTACCAGTGCCTATCTGTGTGCATGTGTAGGAGTATGGGGTGTGTGTATGGGGTTCAGAATCCCCTGTTTAGTTAAAGCTTTGTGTAGTTCTGATATTTGGGGAATGTGCTCTGATTTGGAGCTCATGGACTATATCTTCCCCATTTTTTTTATTATTGCGAGAATTACAATGGATGTCAGGAGGAGGTCTGAGTTTTAATACCATGCAATTTGTAATTTGGGGCATCTCACATAATCTCTTAGGTCTCAGTTTCTTCATGTGTAAAATAAAGACGTTTTAGGTTGTTAACTTGGACCTTCTAAAACTTTATCAAAAGAGCTCTATGGCATGCTAAAAGTAATGAGTGAGCTGGATCCAATTTGCCTGCTGTGCAACTTGATGTTCACAAATTTCTTGGCTTAGTTTGCTCCTCCTTCAAAACATGAGGCTTTTGAGGGGTGCTTAAGGTAAAATAATAGGGGTATTTATCCATAAGACAGTTAAAAAAAACCTGCTTATATTTAAAATGAAAATTGTGCAGTTGTTGTGTATTCTTAGAAAAGAATACAGATAGAGGATTAAAGTTTAGGCAAGTGGATTAATAGGAAACTCTGAATAAAAAAATTACTTTGATTTTGGTGCCCAACCTCCAGGGAGTGAAGAAGGCTTAGAGTTAAGTTGATCACCAGTAGCCAGTGTTTTAACTAGTTATGCCTCTTGTGTTAATTTGTTTTTGTGTCACTATAAAGAAATATCAAACGGGGATAATTTATAAAAATTTCAATTGACTCAGTTCTGCAGGCTGTATAGGCAGCATGATGCCAGCATCTTCTGGTGAGGTCCTCAGTGAGCCTACAGTCATAGTGGAAGGCGAAGGGGGAGCAGATGGATCACATGCAAGAAAAGAAGCAGGAGTGAGGTGGGGGAGGTTGCAGACTTTCCAACAACCAGATCTTGCATGAACTGAGTGAGAATTCAGTTACTACCAAGGGGATGGTGCTAAACCATTCATGAGGAATTTACCCCATGATCCATCCAGTCACTTCTCACCAGGCCCCATCTCTAACATTGGGGATCACATTTCAACATGAGATTTGGAGGGGACAGATATCCAAACCAAATCACCTGTGTAATGAAGCCTCCATAAAAACCTGAAAGGACAGGGTTAGGAGAGCTTCTGGATAGATGAACACATGGAGGTTCATGGAGGGTGGTGCCCCCAGGGAAGGCATGGAGGCTTCATGTCCCTTATCCCAGTCCTTGTTCTGTGCATCTCTTTATCAGTATCCTTTGTAATATCCTTCATAATGAAATGGTAAATGTGCTTCCATGAGTTCTGTGAGCTGCTGCAGCAAACTAATTGAACCGAAAAAGGGAAATGTGGGAACCCCAACTTGAAGCCATTCAGTCAGGACTTCTGGAAGCATAAACTTGCAACTAGTGTCTGAAAAGAATGGGGCAGTCTTGTGGGACAGAGCCCTCAATCTGTGGGATCTGACAGTATCTCCAGGTAGATAGTGTCAAAATTGAATTGGAGGACACCCAACTGATGTCTGCTGCAAAATTGATTGCTTGTTTGTTGGTGGGGTGAAATCCCCCACACTCAGTCACAGAAGTTTCTGTGATGATTGTTGTGGAATGAGAGAATAGGAAAAACACTTTGAGGTTGTGGTTGTTTTCCCACTAATCCAAAGAAACCTTTCTGATAAATCTATTCCTGGGAGTGAGCTGAAATCATTGGAGTAGCTTTGGTTAAAGGTCTGGTACTGAGCATAGAATATATTTGATAGCAGAACAAAGACTATTGGAGTTAAACCTGATGGAATAATATTGAATGCTATATGCACTGCAATATAGATTTTGTTTTCAATTCTCAAAATGGGAGAAGAGTATTCTGAAAATGTGAAATAAGCTTGATGATCGCTCATAGTTATTAGCTGGGAATCGAAGGGTAACATTTTGTTAAATGTTTGAGAAGAGTGAGGGAAGTGAGATGTTAATTAGCTAATTTCATGACTGCTCGTAGAAGGGATAATACCTTAAAGATAATACCTTAAATTACAGTCAAAAGAGGAAATTAGGATATAATGTCACAGTAATCATTAGAACAAAGATACAGAGCTTCCAGAAGATTTAATTAAAAAGTACATTTCTAAAACCACCAAAGAGAGCAATGAAGACTTTACATGTGTGTTATGTTATATACAAACATAACATGGCAAATAGGATGAAAGGTTAAAAATAAGAGATCAGACAAAATTATACTGAGTAAATGCAAATAAAATGAAACTAGGAGTTGCAAACTTGATACCAGATAAGGTAGAACTCGTGCCAAAAAAGCATTTACTGTTGGGGAGAAAACTATTAACATAATGAGCTGCATTAAAATTGAGCACTCTGTTCATTGAAATACATATTTATAAAGTGAAAAGAAGCCACAGGATGGGAGAAGGTATTTGTAACTCATACCCAATAAAGGAGTTCATATTGATGTAGGATATTTTCTTGACCCCTTCACAGTACTCACGACAGGGGTGCCCTGTTTACTCAGCCCACCCCGCTCAACCCCTGGCAGGAGGGAGCACACAAACGAACGAGTGTGAGAACTGGCTGGTAGCTTTGGCACTGGCAGGAGCAAACTTGGTTCACTTGGGTCCGCTTCACTCCACCCCTCATGGGAGGGAGTGTGTAGGCAAGCAGATGTAGGAACTGGCCAGCTGCTTTAGCACCGGCAGGAACAAACTCCATGCAGGCCGTGTGGCAGCATCCAGGTCGGGGTGCCTGCGACCCAAGGCCCCAGAGGGCGTGTTACAAGGTTCTCTTAGCTCTGCTGGACAGAACTGTATTATCAGCTCACTGGGCCTTTTGCCTTTTGTGGGGTGACTGCCCTCCGCCAGTAAGGGCAGAGGGCCAGTGTGATAGCCTTTTTGGGTACCTGCACTTGGTGAGTCCCAAATTCTTGTCTGGTGCCCAAGAAGAATGAGGTAATGTGAATTCATGCTGAGAGCCACTTCCATTCACTCAATAAAATTCTCTGCATTGACCATCCTTCATCCATGAATTGGATCCTTCATCCTTCCTTCAGTTTGAATTCCATGGGACTGGGTCAGTTCTCTCTCTATATATAACTTGCCACATTTTTTAGTTGGTCTACATATGTGTATTTATCAACCCAGTGGATATGAAAGCTTGTCAAGGGCATAAATTATGATCTCTGATTTTTAAAAATATTATCTACAATTTTTTTTCTCATTGTGCTGGCATAGTTCTGGGCCCTTAGATGCTTAGCAAAATTATGTTGAGTTGAGTAGGAAACAAAGGCATGTCTTGATCTTTAATCTGCTAGCTAGCTGGGAGAACCAAAAACGCAAGGGACACATCCTGTGCACAACTGTAAAACAATATATCAATTGTGCAAAAATGAAAACTTCAAACTGAATTGGTAGATGGTCCTAATGAGTTGCTCTGCTATGATAAAGCTGAAGACTTAACAGTTAACTCTGATCTTCAGGCTTACTGTAGTCTCAGAAGTTGATACCTTAGCACCTAAAATAACTTTACTAGATAATGATTGGGATGATTTGGGCTAGTACTCGTTGGATTGAAGACAGAACACAACTCACTTACTGGCATCTTCTGTAATACTGTGAATGTTAGTGATCCACCACAGCACACGTTGTCTCTACCACATGGCGAACCACCTCATAGTTGTGTGTTTTCATAAGCTTTGAAGATAAAGGTGAAACAGTAAAAGTAAAGTAAAGTAAGCAAAGTAAAATGGAAGTAGCATTCTGTGTTATTAGAAAATACAGCTTATAGATTTCTCTTGCTACTGAAATATCTTGACTTATACTATTGATTTTCTGTCAGTTTAGATGGATGTCTTGTATCTTAGATAATAGTATTCTAATGTTCATGTATTTATTTCAAAGGTAGTCTCTCTGTTGTCATTCTTGAATAACAATTATTAGTCAAAAGAAAGAAAATTAAGCATCCTTAATTTCTTTTACTGTTTTCTTTATAAGGCACAGTTGGTGGATCTGAAATCTGAACTGACAGAAACCCAAGCAGAGAAAGTTGTTTTGGAGAAAGAAGTACATGATCAGCTTTTACAGCTGCACTCTATTCAGCTTCAGCTTCATGCTAAAACTGGTCAAAGTGTTGACTCTGGTACCATTAAGGCAAAATTGGTAAGTAGTTTAGAGAGTGACATGCCCTTGCATGTATTTTACAGGGTGGAGAGGACAGTTTTGAATGAGACTTTTAAATTATCAAATGTATGTGCTCATTGTGGGAAATTTAGAAAATATAAGAAATATAAAGTTTATGATCATTATGATAATCTACAATCTCATCACCTATAAATAATCCGTGATATCAACAATCAACTGATAGAATTTTTCCTATTTAAAATACATGTATAAATATGTTTAAAAGATATTTGTGATTATAACATAGAAGATTTTTTTTTTTGCCCTACTGTATCAGTTGGATTAAATTCAGCTGCATATAACAAATCCCAAGTAACATTGGGATTATTCTTGAACAGTGCTTATTTTTCTCTGAAATGTAGAGTTGATATGGCAGCTCCACAAATATTAGAGATCCAGATTCCTTCCATCACTGTGCTCTGCCATTTTTAGCTCATGGTTTCCATCCTCAGGATTTCTTCATGTCTGCATTTCAGGCAGGAAGAAGGGTTAATCTAAGGAAAGGGCAAAAAGATGCTTCTCTGTTGTGTTAGCCTTCTTTAAATAACTTATTATGAAATCTTTCTCAGTAATTTTTGCCAGCATTTCATTGACCATCCCCAGCTGCATGTCAGTCTTCTATTGGTCATATGGCCACTTACAGTAAAACTGGAGTCTGTTAATAAGGAAGAAATAAAAAATGGAATTGGGTACCAGCCAGTAGCACATTCTTTTCTTTTGCTCTTAATATATTGTAAGCATTTTTCCTGCCACTGTGTACCACATATGTTTTAAGTGTGTAAGAGATATCAGATATTTTGTTCGTATATGGAACACAGCAATAAATAAGACAGCTATTGCTTGGCAGAGGCAGGACATGAGATGATATTGATGATATGCTGAGAGTAATACATTTATAAGCTTTACTTGTTTTCAGTTAATTTCATTTGGTTAAGTAGTTCCTAATACTGATGTGTTAAAATTCATGAAAATAATTTTAAGTTAAACTCTTAAGTTTTCAAAGTCTGTGAATCTGTGTTAAAAGGGTTTTATTTAACTGAAATAAAAGCTCATAACTGCTTTTTCGAGCTATTTGACTTTAACATTCAAAAACAATCTAAATTTTCTCTAGAAAAGAATTTACGTGAAGTTTTAACATTAGAATTTGAAAGAGTATGGTGAAAAGAACACTGTACTAGTTATGCTGACTAATTTTGATAAAACAAAAAATTTTAATCTAATGCTATTACAGTTACTGTTGTTTATAGATTGCAAATATATTTGTTCTAATGAACTTTACCCAAATGATATTCAACATGTGGGGTTTTTCCTTATAATGATTATACCACTAAATAAAATCATTTGTTTGATCTTCTTCTAATTATAAAACTTTTTTCTTATATCTGAAGTCTGGCCCCTCTGTGGAGGAGCTGGTAAGTATATTGTTTCTGTTTTGCTTTAATATGTCACGCTGAAGTGTTCTTAGTGTTTTATTTGCATATTATATGTTGTCACTCATTGTATTTGAAAATAGCATTAATGATGGCAATTTTTTAAATGTTCCAGTACCTGAAAAGTTCAGTGGATGGCCCATTGCTCTTTTCTCACTGCATGTTGTTAAACATTTTTCTTTTATTAATGATTTATAGCCATTATTTGCAGAGCCTGACAATTTTTGACAATTTTTGAGCCTTGTAACTTGCTCACACCTCTACTTCAAAGAGCCATAGGTTTTCCCACTTCGGGTATTGAAGATATATCAAGCAGGCCTAGTTTTTAACCCCCTTAAGTTTCTATTTGAAATTATTTCCAGAAAAGAATGTGCATGTTGGTTTCTTCTTCATCTGCTGCATGTGTTATGGCTTTTCAAGAGTCTTGAGAATAATCGTGTGGCCTTTGAAACAATCGAATTTTGAAATGCTTTAGCAGAAGTTATTTTCGAAAATAACAATACATTTTTAATATTTTTCACATTATCCCAACCTAATCAAGTTCCAATTTGTCTTATGGCTTTACCCCTTTTGAAGATCCAATCTTTGGTATCTAAATGTAAAATGAACATCTTGGGTGTTACCTAGTAACAAACAGGTTAACTAAGAATCAAAAAAATTTTTTTTCTGGAAATCTAGAAATGGTTAACTTCAGTTTTCTTAGTGTTATTCTTGCTTACCTCTGTTAATTTGAGGCCTGAGAGTTTATCAGATTCATTAGGGATTTAAATCATTAAAACCCCAGTTGGTGGTAGCTTAGTACGTCTCCTACGTTTCATTAATGTAGTATAAATAACTCATTAAAGTAATTGAAAGTAGGTAATCGTCAACATAAAGTTTATTTAGCCCATAAACCAAAGAAGTCTTGATCTTCTAGGAATGCTTTTTTAAAAGTTGCATCAACTTTAAAATGTCATAAGAAAGATTTTTGTTCATATCTCCAAACTGGTTTCTTTTGAAACAGATACTTGCCCTTTTAGGACATAGGTTCTGAAATAAAGATTTTAATAATTCCAAAATTATGTTAAAAGGAGGATTCTAGATTGAGTTTTTCAAATCCTTTAAAACTAGTATCTAGAAATTATGTTCTAATCTTTTTTTCCCAGAAATTGAAAGAGTCTCCTAATCTTTCATATGTTTGTCATATATATAACAAATATTTTTAATCAAAGAAGTGACAAATATATCTAGCATTTGGTAGTTGTCGTTAGTTTTAGCTTGTATGTGTGTGTGTGTTTGTGTGTATGTATGTAAATTTTTTCTTTAGGATTATGGTATTTATTGACTAGTATTCAAATATATCTATTTTGATGTTGTTCAAAACAGTAGACCAAAGGAGACACGTTAAATTAGTACCAAAATATATTCCATGAATTGCTGAAAATATGCTTAAATTTGTTTGTTAGCTTCTCAATATCCAGAATAAAAAGGGAAATAATTATGTAAAATAATCAGTGCATACAATAGAAACAATACTATTCATCATTTCCTCAAGAGAAACAATTTCTCTGGTGCTAAGGTAGGTTTTTATTTACATCCTCACAAAAGGGACATGGTGGTATAGGGAATAATGTCTTCCACATATCATGAACAAATGTAACCATGTTTTCATAGGATTTGTGGATTCTGTAAAAGCAGTTCTGCTCAGGATAAATGCAAGTTTTCAGTGTTTAGGTGATTTTTTTTGACCTACAAATAACACTTAAAATGTCTGCTGGGGCCCTTATTTAACTCTCAAAAGGGTTTTATTTGGCCATATAGTTTTGTGTGTGTGTTTGAGTTTGAATTTGCCTGCCTATGGGCAGAATTTTTTGTACCTTCTGTTTTGTACTCTATTTTGTCTTGTACCTGCCTGTTTCTGCACTTGGATCCTGAAGGCATTTACATTTGCAACCCTTGATCTGTAGGAAAGATTATACTTTATGCTTTTAAGGTAAATTGAACATTATTTCTCATATATGAACTTCTGATAAAAATTTGATGGTGAAGATCTTGCGGTTAAAGTCTCTGGCTAACACCTTTATGTTCACATATATGGACTATCTACCAAGAGGAACGTAGGAGGCAAGTGAGGCCAGTGTTTTCCTCAGAAAAACGTTCTGCATTCACTCTTAACATACAGACAAATAGATGAACCGGATAACAAAGTTCAGTGGTAATCCACTCCATAGATGTGATTAATCTATAGAAACTTTGTAATGTGTAAATGTTTTAATGCAGTTGTTACTAGCAGTTTTTCATGACTATAAAATGTTTATTAGAAAACTAGTATATCCTCTAGTTTATTCCTTATAAGTTTCTTGTGGTCCTCTAAGATAAATTAGCTATAAAATGTATCTGTGTAACTGAATGATTCTGACTTTAAGACAGACATGCATAACTTTGCATGCAATTTCTGACAAGTCGACTTTATAGACTTGTTGCATTAAAGTTAATTAAATGTTTGGGAACAACCATCAGAATGATTATTTTTATATTAGTCTAGTTTTCTAAGTCAGTTTTAGAAGTAGATAGCAGATTTAACTACCCATTGAAGTCACTTTTACTAATATGTGATAACATGAGCTTAGAGTAGACTACTTTTCTTACTATCCTCCATATCAGGGTAACCCATGGCATGCAATTATTTTATCTAGAAGTAGTTCCAAGATGTTATGGTACTAGTTCAAAAGAACTAGATCCAGATCTTTGTGTTCCATTTTATAGAGATGATACATTGTTGAACTGTAGGCTTTTGTGCATTTTCAAGAACATGGTCTAGTGCTAAAGAGTTTTTATTTTCATTAAATTATATACTTTTAAAAATTACATAGGAAAGAGAGCTTGAGGCAAACAAAAAAGAAAAAATGAAAGAAGCGCAACTTGAAGCTGAAGTGAAATTGTTGAGAAAAGAGAATGAAGCCCTTCGTAGACATATAGCTGTTCTCCAGGCTGAAGTATATGGGGCGAGACTAGCTGCCAAGTACTTGGATAAGGAACTGGCAGGAAGGTGTGTAAAAAATGGGTATTATTGTACTCTTAAGTGACAAATTGGATATTTAATGAGGTTGACTCTTTTTCTTTTTTTATTTTTTTGAGATGGAGTCTTGCTCTGTTGCCCAGACTGGAGTGCAGTGGCATGATCTCGGCTCACTGCAACCTCTGCCTCCTAGGTTCAAGTGATTCTCCTGCCTCAGCCTCCCGAGCAGCTGGGATTACAGGTGCCTGCCACCACAGCCAGCTAATTTTTGTATTTTTAGTAGAGATGGGGTTTCACCATGTTGGCCAGGCTAGTCTCAAACTCCTGACCTCATGATCCGTCTGTCTTGGCCTCCCAAAGTGCTGGGATCACAGGCGTGAGCCACTGCACCTGGCTGACTCTTTTTTCTTACAGTAAATGCAGCATTAATCTTTTCCCTCAGAATCGTTTTACGGTTGGTTTTAACTTACTGTTGTTAAATTAATACTGACAGCATTATGTATTGCAGATCTATTTATCCATACTAAATATGTTTAGTTTACACACATAAACACTGATAGTATCTTACTGTGAAATGCTAACAGCTCTATAGAGCAGCACTTTCCAACTATTTTGTGCCTTGAGACCAGTACAACCGATATTCACGTGCATAGCAGAACTTCCATAAGGAATTCTTTTTATGATCACTGAAACCCAGCCTTTCTTGCCCTTCAAAAAGACATGTTGGTATTTAGTTAATGACAGTGATTTTATCATAATCATACACAGAATTCTACTTGTATTTATTAAGTAAATTATTAACTCTGGTGACTTATTAGTACTGAATCATTTTGTGCATATTCTTTTAATGTCACATTAAAAACATGAAAGAAAAAATAATCTATATCATCTTGAAGTACACATTTTCTAGTAACTTTTTTTTTTTTTTAATTTTGTGAGATGGGGTCTCACTCTGTCACTCAGGTTGGAGTGCAGTGGTGCAACGCTGGCTCACTGCATCGTCTACCTTTCAGGCTCAAGTGATCTTCCCACCTCAGCTTCCCAAGTAGCTGGGACCACAGGCATGCCACCAGGCCTGGTTAATTGTTTTTAAGGTTTTGCCATGTTGCCCTGGCTGGTTCTAGTAACTTTTAACCACATTTAAAATAATCATTTTGTGAAAAGAAACTCTAATTAGAAGAAATATTTTTGTACAGTTAATCTCATCTAAAAGCTAACATTTAATGGTATCTGAGTTCAGTGACTTTGCCTGCAGGACGTAAAACAGATTGACATTAATCTCATCAATTGTTTTTTAGATTTATTTGAATTAAGTATATGACTAAAAGAGTTCACATTAATTCCTTTAAAAAAATTTTTTTACTGGTTTTTCCCTTCAAGATACCTGTTCTTTTCAGAGTGTTCATATTTTTTTATACCTGAGAGACATCAAGAAGTTCCTGAGTATTAGTTTTATCACTAATTTGAGATTCATGCAAAAGCTACTTATGTTCAGTAATTTTTCTGAATTCTCACTATAGTGAACATAATGAAAAAATCAACTCAATGTACTCTTTTCCCAATATGAAGGGTCCAACAAATACAATTGCTAGGACGAGATATGAAGGGACCTGCTCATGATAAGCTTTGGAACCAGTTAGAAGCTGAAATACATTTGCATCGTCACAAAACTGTGATCAGAGCCTGCAGAGGACGTAATGACTTGAAACGACCAATGCAAGCACCACCAGGGCATGTATGTTTGCTTTGCTGCTGCTTCCCACTCAGCCTCTTCTTTCTTTCTTTAATCACAATTGCTTTCCATTCTTTCCTTTATTCTAGTACTGTTTGAAACCTTTATTTAAAAAGTAAAAATGGGATTCAACTTATTCAAAGTAGATAATGTTTCAACACCCATAGAAATTTTAGTAGTTCTTCACAGACTTACTAATGCTCTGAGAGTGATATTTTTGCAGACAGTGAGCCATTGTTAGCAAATGCATATTGCTAGTATGTTGGATCATATTTCCAGTTTTTCCTGGATCATGATTGGGCATGCTTAAATTTGTTTTAATCTTAGCTTAGAGTGTGTGGTCATTTTGATAATTCGCAAATATTTTGGGGTAGTTTTTTAAGGGAACTTTTCATAACTGAATCCAAATGTAGATGCTGAACTAACATTTACACCTGTTTGGTCTTGGATTAAGATGGAATTTGAGATCTGTAGCCAGTTGTCTGCTTCTATAGCCACCATTGTATAAAAGCTTCTATCTGGATAAATCTTTGTTGAATTTTATTATAACAGCTGCTTGATAATATAGACCTTAATATATGAAAGCGTGTCTCCCAAGGGTTCACATAGCTTAGTACCAGATAATGTATGGCGTTAAATAGTAAAATAGTTTGTTGCTTCTGCAAAGATTTTTATAAGAAGAATCGATATGCACATAGAGTTGGTGGAAGAGAAGTGGGGATAACAATAAGCACTTATGCCATTGTTTTCTCTAGGACACTGGTGGTCCCCATTAACTTCTAGGTCCAGTAGATTTGGCAAATGGAGTAACACGGTTAGGAGGAAGACAAAGTAGTTTGTATCAGATGTGTCTGAGTGATAAAAGCATGCTTGTGAAATTATCTAAATATGAGGTTGGGTTTTAGGTAGTGGCTGGATTATAGAAATTATTTTATACTAAATAGAGGAATTTTAACTTTAACCTGATAATCATGGAAGTTTTAAATAAAATGGCAGACTTCATAAAATTTACATTTTTTAATAGTTATTTTGGTATAGTGAAGAGGACCAAGTTGGAGTCAAGGACATAGAAAGATACTATGGTCATCTAAGGAGAAAGTGATGAGGACAGGAGAAGTGGCATTTGAGAAGAAGGACAGATTTGATAGGATTATAATCAGAAGGGCTTGATTGGTGACTAACTGCTTTTGGTTAAATAGTGAAAAAGAAGAATCTGGACTTTTAGTTTGAGCAACTGAGTGAGATCTGGCCTTCAATGATAAGGGAAATAGAAGAAAAGGTAGGATTTGGGGAAAAGATGATGAGATCAGTTTTAGACAAGTAGTGTTTGAGGTGACAATGGGATGTCCAAGATACATCCAATTGGATATATGACTCTGGATTTCAGGAGAGAAATCTGCTTTGAAGAAATATTAGGGATACTGTCCATCTATTATACTTGAAATCTTGGAACTGATGAAGTCAGTTCCAAGTATATATGTATATATAAAGTATATGGGTAGTAAAAAGAATAGGAGGCCAAGGATAGAAACTTATGGAGTGGGAGAAGGAAAAGGATCACTGAAGGAAGGAGCCTGGGATAGAGCTGTCAGATACAGGACATCTAGGAAAGTAGTGTAATAAAAACCAGCGGAAAGAGTGGGTTTCAAGGAGGGGTTGGTGAACAGTATCAACTTTCTGCAAGTTTGAAGTAGAGTAGTGACAAAGTGTTCATTGTGTGTAACAATATTGATTACTAGTGAGCACAGAAAAGAAAATTCCAGTTGTGCATGTAGGGGCAAAACTCTAATTATGGAGCTCAGAGGACTGAATCTGAGTGGCAAGGAAGTAGATATGATGAGGATGAACTTCATGTGGAGGTTAAGGAAAGGGAGAGGATGATAGTTGCTAAGGAAGATAGTGAAGGTTTGAAAGGTTTTTTTGTTTTGTTTTGCGTTTGCACATGATCAGTATTTTAAAACTGGAAAAGGCTTGTAATTCATTTATCTGCTGAGTAGGAAAACAGCTTAGTAGAGACAGAAAGAGTAAGGGTACCAGAGAAAGAATTATTAGTGGATCAAGGCCCTTTATTTAAGAGGTAGACTCCAGAGCACCAAGGAATGTATAAGTAATTTGGTCCAATTGGAAATTTGTTTTTCAACTCTACGACTCAGCTAAAATCAATGTATACCTTAAAGACATCCAGTGAAGATAGACAGTCACTTTTATTTTTTGAGGATATTTGTTCCTCAATTAATTCCTGGAAATAATTTCTTTTATAATGTCCTACAATTTAAAAATAAATGTATCAATATTTTAAATATTATTGGCAAAAATGTGAGAATGTCATCTATACATTTTGTATCAATAGAATAGCTATTTTCATTTTTCCATTTTATCTGTTACTTTCTTAACCATATACTGTTTATCCATTCCAGGAAGTTAATACAGATTTGTAAAAGCAAGTTATATAGTATGAGTTTACTCTATTTGGTATGCTATTTAAATGATACTAATTTTTCTTCTTTTTTCCTCCCAATTAGGATCAAGATTCCCTAAAGAAAAGCCAAGGTGTTGGTCCAATTAGAAAAGTTCTCCTCCTTAAGGAAGATCACGAAGGCCTTGGCATTTCAATTACAGTAAGAAGTAGTGCTTCCGGTCTCCTTTTCTACAGTTATCTAGTATAATCATATTCCTTTGTTGGACATCACTGGGGAACAGAATATTCTGGATATATTTTTTAAATAACTAAAATGTATCCCCATGGGGATAAATGTTTGCTTTTGTGTAAACATTTTTTTAAGAAATAAATCTTCCTAGCAGCTATTAAGTATACCTTTAGTAAGCATAGTTTAACATTTTTATTATGACTCACTTAATAGTTCTGTGCCATATAGTGTGATGCCTCTAGGAGCCCTTGGGAATAGATATGGTTGTTTTCGTCTAGGTTAAATGGCTTCAGATTGTGTTGTTCTCTCTCCAAGTATGTATATCTTTCTCTTGTCTCATTTATTAGCTGTCAGATTTCACTGGCTCTGGGGTCCATATATTATATATTCTTTTTTTAAATTCAATGCCTTTAGGAGTCATTTTGTTGTAGTCTCAGTGCTTTAATGAACAAGGTGACTTTAATTTTCATTTGGTAATACTTAGGCACTGAGCAAGTTCATTTGTTTTTTTAGTATTGCTTGATGTAGAAATGTTTCTTATAATAAAAAGCTCATCTAATCTGTATTTCTTGAATACTTACCTTTTTTAATGTGCTGCCTTCAAAGAGTATACATTTTAGCAGTACAAATAAGACACACACACACCCACACACACACACACACACACACAACGATACAAGCTAGAGAGTGATAGGTACCAAATACTGCACTTTTTTCAATTCTACATTGCATATATTTTCATATTTTAACTTCTCTGAAATTGTGGCACCTAAAATAATTGGTCTTGTCATTTGTAGTGATTTAGACTTGATAAAATGGAATGGTGCTATGGAGTACTAACACATAAGTTTTTTTTTTTTTTAATTTAAGAATTTAGCCAATTTACTGTTCAATACTCTTTGATAATTTTTACCATTACTTAAGTAGCAAATGAAATTTTACCCAGCATTTATAGAGACAGCATAGGTGCTTAATGAAAGATATTTTTAAGAAAATATTTTATCTCTAGATTAATCGGTAACTCTACTTTACAAAGAATAATTTACTGCCCTTTGTTGTTGTTGTTAGGGTGGGAAAGAACATGGTGTTCCAATCCTCATCTCTGAGATCCATCCGGGTCAACCTGCTGATAGATGTGGAGGGCTGCACGTTGGGGATGCTATTTTGGCAGTCAATGGAGTTAACCTAAGGGACACAAAGCATAAAGAAGCTGTAACCATTCTTTCTCAGCAGGTAAATTCCCTTCATATAATTAGAACTGTATCTTTCAATTGGTTATGAATCTATTGAACACTGCATACTTCCCTACAGAGTTTCTAAAGTAGAAAAGTGTTTATACATAGATCTTGTTTCCTTTGATTTAATGCTTTTGTAGATGACACTCAGTCAAATGTACTGAAAATGGACCATTCCATTTTGTTTACTTCATAACTTTGAGCAAGTTACTTAAGTCCTCTGTCCCTCAGTGTCCTCACCTGTGTGGAAGGGATTAAAAGAAAGCTGTGAGGATTAAGTATGTTAATACATATAAAGTACTCAGAACAGGACCTGAGACTGAAAAAATAACATCCTTAATGCCTAAAACACTATATGTAAGGTATTACAGAAAAGACAGTGCTAGAAGCAGATTGATTTTAGTCACAGAATATTAAAATTGAAATCACACATAGAAACTATCTAGCCCAAAACTCTTAAAATGAGTAAACTAAAGTTCTTAGAGATGAAAGGATTTACTCAAAGTTGCCGAGCAAATAAATTAGAGAATTGAGATTCATATTCAGGAGTCATATTTGTCATACAGTTGTACTTAAAATGTTGTTTTATTTTGTTTATTTCTTTCAAGAATAGAGTTGAGGGAATTAGAGGCATTGGTAGTACATTGAGATGTTTCTTGGGTTATCAGTGTGGTATGCGTCTGTAGAATTGAATCTCAGAGTCGAAAGTGAATATAGTTCATTGGTTCAATTCTATATGATGCATAAATCTTTGCAACATCACTACTTCAATAATTATATTAAAGGGAAGACTTGCTGATATCAAACAGTCCGTTCCATTGTTATACAGTACTGATTTTTAGAAAGCTTTTTCTCATATTAAGCCTGAAATCTGTGTCTCCATGACAGCTACTCACAGATCTAATTCTGTCATTTAAAACTTTGCTGAAGACCACTGCATCATCTGTCTCTTTCTGCAAAATGGCATTTTTAAAGCATTATCTGACAAGAGAGATCTAAGAATGCTATGCTATTCTCTTAAGTGAGTGTTTTATCAACCCATCTTGACTGTCATCCAGTAGTAAAAGAGTGGGATAACTGGTGAAGGAGCTACCAATGGGCAGTCATAAGTTTTAAGAAAATGCTAACTAAGCACATATTAAAATTCTGATGTATAACCTTAAACTGCTTGGAAAGAAGAGCACCAATGAGTCTAACTTAGTGAGTAGCAATCAAAAATGGCATGTTTTCTTTTGAGCAAAGGCAAACCATAATTTTCAGAGTTGCCAACACCACACTTATATGTAGTGGTTGGAGTCTCTTATTAAATGACAATTATAACTTGGATTTTTTTTTTTCTTGTTTTTTTTTTGAACCAGGGTCTCACTCTGTCACCCAGGCTGGAGTGCAGTGGCACAATCACAGATCACTGCAGCCTCAATCTCCCAGGCTCAGACAGATCCTCCAACCTCAGCCCCCCAAGTAGCTAAGACTACAGGTGCACACCACCATGGCCAACTAATTTTTTTTTTTTTTTTGTAGAGATGGGTTTTGCCATGTTGCCCAGGCTGGTCTCGAATTCCTGAGCTCAAGCAATCCACCTGCCTCAGCCTCCCAAAGTGCTGGGATTACAGGTGTAAGTCACCGTGCCTGGCATGATCTGTAACTTTTTACTTGAATGTGTCATTGTTAAAGAATGGCACTACAACTATTACACAGTTAATCTAGCATAATATAAAGATCAAGGACTTCAGAGTCAAACTTTTATTTTTCTTTATTCTTGTTCATTATGTAGGGAAAGTTATCTCCTTTCTCCAGGACTCATTCAGGTTTCTCGTTCATGTTAAAAGACACTATAGTAGGATTATTCTGCGGATTGAAGGCTATAATTTATAGTAAACATATATAGTAATTACTATTAGTATGAGACAGGATACTTTGATTAACACTATGTCTGCGTCTGGTACTCAGTGTAAGTTCTTACTCAAGACCTATTGAATAAGAAACAAAAAATCATTTTGTAGGAGTTTCTTGAATTAGTTAAGGAAAGGTTTGTATGATGTCCTTATGGCAGTGTACAAAATCATTTTGTAGGGGTTTCTTGAATTAGTTAAGGAAAGGTTTGTATGATGTCCTTATGGCAGTGTACAAAATCATTTTGTAGGGGTTTCTTGAATTAGTTAAGGAAAGGTTTGTATGATATCCTTATTTAATATCTGACTCTTTAGATGTATTTGCTGAATTGCTGTGTGCAGTACAAAATAGCAAATAATTTTGAATACTTGTTCCAAAATTCTATAAATTTAATAATTAAGCATCCTTTCAAATTTTAGATCTATTAGCAAAAAGATTATGGTCAGTAGAAAGAGCTACTATAATGTTTAAAGGAACTGTAGAGAGAATTCATGAGGCTGATCTAGACATGATGGCCTCACTACCTGTTTAGATTCTAGAACTTTATTATTTGTTTTCTGGAAAGGAGCTATCTCTTAGATCTCTCCACCCTTACTAAGCCTTCCCACAAAGAATTTGGAAATCCTTTTAAAATTACAATTACAATAACTTGACTTTCTCATTTTCATTTCATTTAGAGAGGAGAGATTGAATTTGAAGTAGTTTATGTGGCTCCTGAAGTAGATTCTGATGATGAAAACGTAGAGTATGAAGATGAGAGTGGACATCGTTACCGTTTGTACCTTGATGAGTTAGAAGGAGGTGGTAACCCTGGTGCTAGTTGCAAAGACACAAGTGGGGAAATCAAAGTATTACAAGGTAAAAATCACTCTAAAAATTATTATTAACATATTCATTATTATTAAACTATTATTAAATGTTTAAATGTTGAAAAATGTGAAGGCCTCAGAATTTCTTCAGTAAAACTGTTTTAACTGTGAGGAAATCAAAGGAATGAAGCGCTTTCCCTTGTTTATTGTTTTATTGTACATTATGCGAACAGTTTATTTACCACATATGTTCTTCTATATTCATCTTGGACTGTTAAGACAAGTACATTACCAGTTACTCTACTGCAAGTGATCCTTGAAAAATAAATAAAATTTTTTCTAGACTCTGAAACAAATACCAATATACTATTTTGAGTAGATCTATCTTGTAGACTACATTGTCTCTCTGTCTTGATGCAAATTCCTCTCTCATAATACAATGAATTTTAAGCTAATTATGAATAAGTATGAAGTATACTGTCATCTTATGATTGCTATTAGAATCAACTTATATTATCTTGGGGATGTTTGGTTTAGTTCCTTTGCTATCATTTACACATATTATAAGGAAAAACTCTAGCACTTCCTTTTACATAGAGTAGTGGTCCTCAAATTGTGATCTGTGGATCTCTGAGGGTCTCTGAGATATTTTAGCAGAGTTCATGAGGTCAAAGCATTTCGTAATAGTACTAAGACATCATTTGTCTTTTTTTGCTGTGTTGATATTTGCATTCATGGTATTGGGTTGGTGCAAAAGCAATTGGGGTAAAACTGCCTTAGCACTAATCCAGGCAGTGTTGCTAATACTAGTAACTGTACTAGTAATCTTTGTTTTCTTCCTTGGCATCCATTCATAGTAAAAGAAGGAGAAGAAGATACCAATTTTGCTTAAAAATACCTTTGATGAAATGGCAATAACAGTTAATTTTTAAATATTGACCTTTGAGTACATGTCTTTTTAATATTCTTTGTGATGAGATGGGAAGTATGCATAAATACTTATTCTGCATACTGAACAAAGATGCTGTTCTCAAGGGAAAGTACATAAGTGACTGAACTAGCCATTATTCTTCATGGAAGACAATTTTTACTTGAAAGAATCACTTGAAAAGTATGACTTTTCGGACTATTTGGAAGCCATTTTCTTAAAAATGAACAAAGTCCATCATTTCAAGAAAGACAACTGATAATATTTATTGCCAATGATAAAATGTGAGCTCTCAAGTAAAAGTTAGAACTTTGTGAAACATGCACTGATCACCATGAGCTTGACAGCTTCCTAACACTTAGGAGCTTTTCGGATGAGATTGATGATGATATTAATGAATGTGATTTTTTTGGTACAGTAAAGTGAAGTGTGTCAACTTTTGGAATTGCTACATAACTTCATGGTCCAATATTTTCAAATCACCAGTAAATGATATTATAAAATTCTGCATGGGCAAAAGATCAATTCAGAATGCAAGATAGGCAAATGGATTTTAATATAACAGTGTGAAAAGTTCACTGATAAGGTTTCAAATTCCACATTGTCAAATTTTGTATAATATCAGAGAGTAATACTGACAGTTATCTGAAAAGGCTATTAAAATACTCTTCCATTTCGCAACTACATATCTGTGTGAGGTTGAACTTTCTTCATATATTTGTAACAGATTGAATGGAAGTGGATGTATGAGAATACAGCTATCATCTATAAAGCCATTGAAGAGATTTGTAAAATTGTAAAATAATGCTACTCTTCTAACTAGATTTTTTTTTGTTTGGAACATAGAGTTATTTGTCATTAGACAAAGGTTATTTATATTAACATTCTGGATTATTGTAATTTTTAACAAATAAATGAATTTTTTTTAGATTTTTCAGTTTTACTTACTAATATGGGAAACATCAGTGACTATAATCCACATAAACAGAAGCTTCTTGGAGTCCTCAATGCTTAGTATAAAGACCTCCTGAGACAAAAATGTTGAACTCCTGGCATGGAGTTTTATGGTGAACTGATAAACTGTTACACTTCTGATAAAATTGTGTGTTGTAAACTGTCTGCACAAAGATAGCAGTAGCAGTTATTGTTTTCACTGTGCATCTTGAACAAAACTATTGTGGCAATATGTCAAAGACTTATACTGTTGGGCTGCTCTCCAGATGGTTTCATTGTGTTTCACCCTTTTTGTTGTTTTCTGTCAGGATTAGAAGGCTTGTCTCTTCCTTTTTTTGTAACTGAGGCTAAAGGCTTCTCTGTCACTTATGCAAATTGAGAAACTTAAAATGTGACTCAGATACCTAAAAATTTGTGTGTATGTATCACGTTTAACTGACTTACTTAAAAACTGTATCTATTGGTTATTGTTTCACACATGTCTATACTTTATAGCTCAGTAAATAGGTGATATAGTCAACACTCATTTATTTATAAGCCTATTATGTATTTTATAGATGACCAGAATTAATTTTAAATCTTAGCTAGACATCATCTTGCCAACAAATTACATTTTAAGCAATTAACTAGTATATGCCTTAATTAAGTGAAGTTAATGTAATATGAAGGTAACAATGTAAAATAAAAATATAATTCACAGTTCAGTAGATATTTATATAAGTAGAATTGACTGAATTTTACAATTATATGTATTATTCTAAGTCTTATAGACAACTTGATAGGGGCCAGGAATGGTGGCTCATGCCTGTAACCCTCGTACTTTGGGAGGCCAAGGCAGGAGGATCGCTTGAGGCCAGGAGTTACCAACCTGGGCAACATAGTGAACCCTGTCTCTTCAAAACATTTTTTAAAATATAGCTGGACATGGTGGCACATGCTTGTAGCCCCAGCTACTCAGGAAGCTGAGGTGGGAGGATTGCTTGAGCCCAGGAGGTCAAGGCAGCTCTGCAATCCAGCCTGGGCAATAGAGTGAGACCCTGTCTCAAAAAAGAAAAAAAGGAAAAGAAAACTTGATTAGGAAACTTAATACAGTTTTTAGATAAGCCCAATATAGTATTTTTAAATCTGTACAGTATCTGATACCTGCCATAAGGGAGAAGAAGGAAGAATTCCTGTTAGGAATTGCTGATATGATTAATATAAGGCATTATTTTTGCCTCAGATTACTACTGTTAATTACAGTGGGCATTCCTTTGTTTTTCATGCAATGAAATTATACAACTAACTTTTTTTTTTTAATTGAGACTGAATCCTTAGGAATAACCCTTTGATTTTCAAGAACTACCGAATAACTGTATGAAGGGGTGGTTTGTTTTTTAAAACCTCGAGTTGGAATTTTTATGAGGTCACTGTGTAATTTGAAGGATTGTATGAAATGGTTATGATATAAATTCCTTTTAAGGATTGGTAAATAGAATGAATTATTTTTTTATTTTTATTTTTTAAATTTCACTCTGTCGTCCAGGCTGGAGTGCAGTGGTGCGATCTCAGCTCACTGCAACCTCCACTTCCTGGCTTCAAGTGATTCTCCCACCTCAGTCTCCCAGATAGCTGGGATTACAGGCATGTGCCACCATACCCGGCTAATTTTTGTATTTTTAGTAGAGACGGGGTTTCACCACATTGGCCATGCTGGTCTCAACCCCTAACCTCAGGTTATCCACCCACCTTGGCCTCTCAAATTGCTGGGATTACAGGCATGAGCCACCACACCTGGCCAAAACTAACTTTTTAAACCAGAAAGTATCTGCTTTTTTTTTCTCCTTTCTTTCAGGATTTAATAAGAAGGCAGTAACTGACACACATGAAAATGGAGACCTGGGCACTGCAAGTGAAACTCCGCTAGATGACAGTGCTTCAAAATTAGACGATCTGCACACTCTGTATCATAAAAAATCTTATTAAATTGACCATGTCTCCAGACAAGATTGTTAATCAGACTGTTCTGAATTTGGGGCACTGGGGAAGATGGTGACAAAGACTACAAAATCAGAGGAGGCTGTTTGTTGCCTAAATGAAAGGCGGGTACCTCAGGGCTTCATGTGAACAATTCTAAATGCATAAAACACACTGTTTTCTGTGGTAGACCATGATTAGCTATTGCATGTAAAGCAATTTTGATTTTCTTGAACATGTAAGCACCAAAGCATGTGTTCCCAAAGGGGTATTACTGGGCTGTTAAGTACCAAATGAAACCCTACTGTTTTATTTGGTTTGTTTTCCCTTTAGAAGGAGGACAGTGCTAACTGCAATTTTATAAGAAATACCCTTACAGAGAGTAAGTGAATTCATATTTTATATTCTAGAATGTTAACCGTGGTGTTTCAGAAGACAGAGCTTGACTCAATGAATTGTAGAAATATAGGCTTGACTTAATTTTTGAAACTGAAAGAAAGGCTTTAGACTTCAAAAAAATTTATTGTGCATCCTGAAATCTAAACCAATTATTAATGATCATTTATTGTAATGAGTTTGCATTTCAGCTTTATTCAATGCAGTACGAAATAGTTTTCTTTAAGCAGTCCTTTATCAATCAATGCTGCACTAGAAATAGATTCTCAAAAGTTACTAAACATTTTACTTTTTTTGGTTTTTAAAAGAAATGCAGATGAGTGTAAAACATCTGTTCTCAATTATGTTGATCTGTGTGCACGGTACTGGAGCGTTTACCCATTCATGTTAAGGCTCAAATGCTTGTTTTCTGGGATCCACAAAAGACAGTTTTATACATTTTGAGTTGTTCATAAAGTTTGTCTTGTGATAGTCCTGGCACTTAAAGATAAATGTTTCTGGTAGTAAAAGTTCAGATTTATTACTGTGTCACGAAACACAGTATATTCAAATCAAATGGCAGTTTTCTTTCTAAGTAAATGATTTCCAATCATCTAAAAGGTGTGCAAGAAGAGATAAAGACATTTTGATACAGTAATTGTTTTGGTTGGGTTTTCATGTCAGTTTATGTTTGACTAAAACTCTCTTCACATGCAGGTTTATAAATTTGTTAGGTCTCTTGTCCTATGATTAAACATGGAGTGCTTCCTCTCTGATTTAATATTTTGCAGGTCATTGTAACCTGCTAGGCAAAGTCAAAACATTGCATTAAAGAGGTGATAGTTTTGCTAATATCACTGTTTTAAAGGATATACAGTTAAGGGAATATTAAGTGGGAGAAAGCCTATAAGGCTTTTAGAATATTATCAGTATCTTCATTTCTGGTATTCAGATGTTATGTGATAAAACACACTTTTTTTTGTCTTTCCCAGATACACTATATATTTGTTCAAGGGTAAATCTATAAAATATATATACTTTATTTTGTGGTTTTGCTATTTATAAATTTAATGTTTTAACTGTTGCTCTTTTATGGTTTGTTTTGGGTGGTGGTGTTCATCTGTATATCACCATGTTAATTTGTAATAGAAGTGCACTTCATAGTATATATTGTTACTGATATTAAAATACTTTATAGCATTTGCCTCTGAGCAAAAGCTAGTATTTAATTGTACAAATGAATAAGCAAGTTACATGTTATTGTTTGCTCTTGAAAGGGTAGGCCTCTTAAAAGGAAAAAATACAACTTGTTTTTTCCTTATCCCCTATGCCAAACACATACCTTCCATGCATGACATGAGATCTGCAAACTGAATTTTAGCCACTGTATTTATTTAGTCAAAAAAATTGTCCATTGTAGCAGACCTGAAAACCTTTTTGCTGTGACATGGAACCATGTTATTCTTATCTTCTAAAAACACAGCCTGGGATGGAACGACCATGGCATTTTTTTCAGAGAACATCCTTTATCTGCTATGACTGAATCCTTAGGAAATAACCCTTTGATTTTCAAGAACTACCGAATAAGTGTATGAAGAGGTTGTTTGTTTTTAAAACCTCAAGTTGGAATTTTTATGAGGTCACTGTGTAATTTGAAGGATTGTATGAGATGGTTATGATATAAATTCCTTTTAAGGACTGATAAATAGAATGAAAAGTTTCCAGGTAGTTTAAAACTCCACAGGTCAGTTTCCTTTTCATTCCTGCTTCACTGTGGTTTGTAAGCCTACGGGAGAGCACCATTGCTCAGATGCTGCTGTGAGCTTCCTGTCAGGTGTTAGAAAGTAACTAGTTAAAAGATCATTTTAGAATATATGGTTTTTGGGGATGAACTAAGAATTAGTTATTAGTTCCAAAGGACTGAGAACCAATTTTAATATTTTCACATTTATAGGAAAGAAATTCATATGTCCCTGAAACTTCTAAGACAAAACCAAACAAGGAGGGAACTGTTGCAAAGCCATTTCATCGAGAAAGGGACAGAAGGAGAAATACACACATGTATACACAAACAGAATGGTTGAGAAAACGTTTTAATAGAATGTGAGGGTTGTATGTATGTGTGTATATATTTACACTTAACCTCTAAAATTCTCTTCTACAGTACCTCAGTTATGAATATAATGGAAAAGCAGCATTTTGGCAGTGAGACTATTGTTAAAATAAATTTGAGAAAAATGAAAATTTTGTGAGTCTTGATAATTACAAGTCAACAGCTTTCGAAAGTTAGCACAACTTGTCTGTGGTGCTGTTTTTTTTTCCCCACCACAGTGGACTTATTCTGTTTTCATGTTTAGAAACAAAAAGGTTTCATGTGATTCATGTGTAAGATGCACAGTATTTGACATCCTAATTATGTAATCCCTATTCCATCTATCCAGTCTTACACTTACAGTTGGCCTCAAATCTATTGCATTTATGATAATGTATTATATCTAGTTGAGTTTAATATTTTTTTATTAGCTTGTAAATAAAGATGGCATCTTCTACATTAAAATGATATTGATCTCATTTTTTAAAATAAACATTTTGTTTCCTTGACATTAAATATTTTGGCTTATTATTTATTTATAGTAGCTTCTATTATTTGTACCAACATGTCATAAAGTCTGTGCAAAGGACTTGGCTTAATTTTGTGTTATAATATTGTGTTATAAATGTTGAGGAAAACATTGATAAAAGTTAGAAAATCCTGTTTTTAAGATACTATTTAAAAGGATATTCTTCCATTTTGACATCTAAGTATATATAATTTAGAAGTTCCTAAGTTATATGTAAAATAATTTTTGGAAAATACTTGTAAATGAATTACTTGAGTTATAAACATTTAGAAATGTTATGAATATTAGAAATACATTTTTGTCACTGACTAATCTTGATTCAGTGCTAATACATATATGCTTTCTGTGTGTTGATTTAAGCTCCCAGTTCACCAAGTGATTTGAAAAGATGCCTTTTCCCCAGAATATAACCCCATAGGATATTGGTCAATTTATGAATTTTTTGGTCAGTTTATGAAATTTTAAAGAGAACTTGCATTTTCATTGTTAATCAGTGTTTTATTTTAGGTGGTTTTATAACTGTAATGTTAAAAAAAAAAAAAAAAACAACTTTAAAAGTATTGCAAATTACCGTGCGCTGTTGGTGCTGAATATTTGTTTAATAGTGAACCTTTTTCAGGTGTGTTTTGAGAGTTATAACCACCATGGCGGCAGCCATGAGAATGCATCTGTCAGTTCTCGTGCAGGAGGGAGCGTAGCTTACTGAAAGCCCAGCTACTGTGGTCTGAAATTCATCCCTGTGTACATGGTGAGGCTATGCTTCTCCACGCTGCTGCCAGTCAATGACTGATTATGACAGGGATATTATATGATGACTCCTCAACTTTAGCTGAGCACTCCATGATGGTCTTGCCAAACTCCCTTAGGATTACATTGTAGTCCAAGTTGCTGTCACCCAACCTTCCTTCCTCCTTTCGTTCACCTTGGGTCTTACCTCCATTGTGGTCTCATTGCTTTCCAGCCTCCCATCAACCCCAGCTCCCTACCTATTTTTCCTCACTGGCATTGCCCTTAATAAATCTGTTGCACAGCAGATCCCTTTTTGGTGTTGGCGTCTGCTTCTTAGCCTAGACTAACACAAGTGACCATGAGTGAGATTTGAGGAAACAGGTAATAAGATGGGCATTAGGAATCCACACAAAGGGCAAAGACAATGATATCTAGTTGGTAAGTACGGTTTATCTAGTCCTTGACACAAAATCATGGCTCAGTGGCTATTTCACAAATGGTGTGCAGAAAAGAGTTAACAGAATAGGCCTGAACCTGTTGTCTTTAGGTCTGCTTGCAAGGTTGGACCTTGGCCAGAGTCCAGCAACTTGGATATCAGGAGTATTCCCATCATCCTCTTGCTGGTAAGAGTGGTTTACTGTGCCTGAAATGTTTGTACAAACAATAGGATTTTTGTTGAACACCTACTTTCCTCTGGGAATCTAGAATTTTAGTACATGCTAGGTAGAGGGTACCTACATGACTGACTCCCCTAAAACCTTGACTCCTAGGTTCAGTCAGGCAAGCTTCCTAGGTGGACAACACTTGATGTATTGTTACACGTTACTGCTAGAGGAATTAAGCATGTCCTGTGTGACTCCATTGGGAGATGAATTTTGGAGCTTGTACCTGATTTTCTTGGGACTTTGCTCATATGCCTTTTCCCTTTCCTCATTTTGCTTTGTGTTCTCTGTAATAAATCATAATTGTGAATAAAACTATGCTTAATCGGATGAGTCCAAGCAAATCACTCAACTTGGGGGGAGTTTTAGAGATTCTGGACCCAGATAGTAGCTTATGGAGAGGGGAACTCTCCAGGAGGGTCGATGATGCAGACATTTAAAAAATATGGGAAGAACAACATCTACAAGAATAGCAGAGTTGGCCGGTTACAGCAGGATTGTATTGATGACCTACAGAAATGGGGTGGGGCGGCTCCCAAAGAGGCCTTACCTCCTACAATGGAGGGATTGAAACAGCTGAGCTTCCGGCTGAATGCCTAAGTGTTAGAGTTGCTGAGTTTGAGATACTTGAATGTTCAGCCAACCCCCTTTTATTTTGTGAAAGTCAAGGCCCTGGTGTGGAAAACCTAGAACCATGGGGAGATCTGGATGGATGCACCTGAGAGACTTTGCAGTCTCTACTGGACTGTCTGGTCTTAAGAAGTAGCCCACGCTTCTCCAGTAAGGCCTTGTACCTTGTCTGTGCTCCAAGATGTTACAGAGGCTGCTACTACCACTTCCCTAAGGCAATACCTGCCCCTACCTAGTCTGCCGCCAGTACTGTAACTAGGGCTAAATCCTAATAAAGCCTGAATGGGAGATGCGCTGGGCCTGATAAAGGAGAAAAGAAACTACACAAAAAGTGTAAGAATCATCTAGCATATTCTGGCAAAAGTCAAAGGAGTACTCCTAGAATTGAATTTTTTATTTTATATATATATGTTTTTTTTTGAGACGGAGTTTCACTCTTGTCGCCCAGACTGGAGTGCAATGGCGCAATCTTGGCTCACTGCAACTTCTGCCTCCTGGGTTCAAGTGATTCTTCTGCCTCAGCCTCACAAGTAACTGGGATTACAGATGCCTGCCACCACGCCTGGCTAATTTTTGTATTTTTAGTAGAGACGGGGTATCACCATGTTGCCTAGGCTGGTCTTGAACTTCCTGATCTCAGGTGATCCACCTGCCTCCCAAAGTGCTGGGATGACAGGCAGGAGCCACCATGTCCAGTCTAGAATTGAATTTTGAGAATGCTTGATCAGGTTCTAAACTTATTAAAAGAAAGAACTGAAATTGGAAAACATTTAATTTAAATTGGAAAAAATCCAGCAATATGTTTTTTAAAAGGAGCATACTAAAACATAAGGACATAAAAAATTTGAAAGTGGCCGGGCGCGGTGGCTCAAGCCTGTAATCCCAGCACTTTGGGAGGCCGAGACGGGCGGATCACGAGGTCAGGAGATCGAGACCATCCTGGCTAATGTGGTGAAACCCCGTCTCTACTAAAAAAAAAAATACAAAAAACTAGCCGGGCGAGGTGGCAGGCGCCTGTAGTCCCAGCTACTCGGGAGGCTGAGGCAGGAGAATGGCGCAAACCCGGGAGGCGGAGCTTGCAGTGAGCTGAGATCCCGCCACTGCACTCCAGCCTGGGCGACAGAGCGAGACTCCGTCTCAAAAAAAAAAAAAAAAAAAAAAATTAGAAAGTGATAGAAGAAAGGATATACACTGGGCATATTTTCTCCAAAAGAACATGGATACAGTTACATTAATATTTTTTAAAACAGACTTGAAGAAAAAAATCATTAGGGATAAAGGTTACTTAATTTCTTAAAGAATCAATTTACTACAATGTTAAATCTATCATCATAGTGGGAGATTGCAACAAAACTTTCAGGGAAATTAGGAAAGAAGGAAGATTTGAACAACAAGCTTGATTTAAAGTTTTAAGTTAAGAGGGCATTTGGTTGTAAAAGAAACACCTCTGGCGTCTAAGTAGGAGGATAAAAAGTGAGCAAAAGAACAGACAATTTTCAAAAGAAAACATAAAAATGGATGATAAACATGAAAAAAAAAAGTTCAACATCACTAATCAGAGAAATGCAAATTAAAACCACAATGAGATACCATCTTACACCAATCAGAATGGCCATTATTAAAAAATCAAGAAACAGATTTTGGGGAGGCTACAGAGTAAAGGGAGCACTTACACTATTGGTGGGAATGTAAATTAGTACAACCTTTATGGAAAACAGTAGAGAGATTTCTCAAAGAACTAAAAATAGAACTACCATTTGATCCAGCAATCCCACTACTGGGCATATACCAAAAGAAAGAAATCATTATATTGAAAAGATAGTGGCACTCATATGTTTATCACAGCACTATTCACAATAGCAAAGATATATATGGAATCAACCTAAGTGTCCATCAATGGATGACTGGATAAAGAAAATGTGGTAAATGTATGCCATTGAATACTATTCAGCCATGAAAAAAAGAATGAAATTATGTCTTTTGCAGCAACATGGATGGAACTGAAGACCATTATCCTAAGTGAACTAACTCAGAAACAAAGTTGAATACCACATGTTCTCACTTGTGGGGCTAAATAAAGGGTACACATGGACAGATATAGAGTGGAATAACAGACATTGGAGACTACAGAAGATAGGAGGGTGGGAGAGGGGTGAGGGTTGAAAAATTACCTATTGGGTATAATGTTCACTATTCAGATGGTGGTTACACTAAAAGCCCAAACTCCAACACTACGCAATATATGCACGTAAGAAACCTGCACTTCTACCCCCTAAATCTATAAAAATGGAAATATATTTTTAAAAAGGAAGGTAGGTAATGGACTATAACAAAGAAAATTAGATAAAATATAGGCCAACACTAAAACTTGGAGTCTATGCATTGGAAAGGTAGAATTTGCAATTTGGTAAATTGCCAGCAGGGGGTAGCAGATTCCAGGTGCATTATTAATTTTACTTTTATTAGCAGTGTAAGGCTTTTTGAAAATCAAATCAAATACTCCTATGAAGATCAATAAATTGAAGGCTAATTTTTCCAGGGCCACACAGCTAGTTAAGTGTCTGAGCCAAGACTCAAATTCCTCTCTTCATTCTACTTTAATAGGTCACAAAGAAGGAAAAGGGAAATATAGATAAAATTGTCAGCTTTCAGTCTTCCTGTTCCAACAATTATTTTTGTTTTTTCCATGCTTGCCAACTGCAGTAGAATTTTTAAAAAATTTTCTTAAAGGGTGCAAGGTTTGATGGAGCCTAGGTTTGATACAGTTTTGATTTCTAAAAATGATGACTGTGCTGGGTTTGAATTTCACAAGAAACTGTTTGGCTGTAGTGGAGTAATGTAGAATGAGAGAACTCCTAGAGTTATATAGTAGATTTCTAGATTGTCAAGACTATAGCATTCCCCTGCCCCACCAAATACTTACGGAATAAGTTATTTCCTGCTTGTGTGCATACTGTCCCCATATTCTTTAGGAAGCAATACTGCAACAAGGATATTTGTGTCCTTTTGTGACATTTGAGGATGTGTCATACTCACTAGGTGCCCTCTACTGTCATGTTCACCATGGTTGAGGGCATTTTTAATCTCTGCCTAAGGCAGTAACAAACGGGTTTTTGGCTTCTGAAACAGTAGAAGTAACTACAAAAATTTAAAAAGGCGAACTGCTGATTAGTCATGAAAAAAGGGAGTAAATGCAAATATACAAAATAAGAAATAAGAGAGAAATACCCATAAAAGAGAAAACTAAAAGGATAATAATGGACTACTTTGTTCAATTCTATAGGAATAAATTTGAAAACTTTTCTAGGAAAATGTAATTTACCAAAACTGTTCCCGAGGAAGTTTTAAAATCTAAACAAACCAATTTCCATAGGAAAAATAGAAGAAATTGGCAAAGTGCTCTCCCCACAAATTACCAAAATATGTGATTTCACAGGGCATTGCTACTAAACTTTTAAACAACAGCTAACTCTAATGCTTAGCAAGAGAACCAAAAACGGGAAGAAAAATTCAGAATCGTTTCTGTCAAGCTAATAATATCTGATCGAGATTGCCACAAAGAAAGAAAACAAAAGCCCTGATTCACAATTTTTTTTTTTTTTTTTTGGCAACTGAGTCTTGCTCTGTTGCCAGGCTGGAGTGCAGTGACTCGATCTCGGCTCACTGCAACCTCCGCCTCCCAGGTTCAAGCGATTCTCCTGCCTCAGCCTGCCGAGTAGCTGGGACTCCAGGCACAGGCCACCACGCCCAGCTAAGTTTTGTATTTTTAGTAGAGACAGGATTTCACCATGTTGGCCAGGATAGTCTCGATCACTTGACCTCGTGATCCGCCCTCCTGCCTTCTCAAAGTGCTGGAATTACAGGCGTGAGCCACCGCGCCTGACCCACAAAAGAATATTAATGTAAAAATCCTAAGTAAAATCCTATCCATGCAAATTTAATACAGTAATGGATTCATATACTATAACCAGATGTTTAACACTGGGACATCTAATTATGTGATTAATCATCTGACTGGCTCTAGGGAGGAGTCCTATGGAGGAAAATCATATTTTCCATAGATGCTGAAAAGGCTTTGGTCAAAATTAAGCATATTCCTTGTGAGGGGAAAAGAAAAGGAATAAATAGATGCTTTCTTAACATAATAAGATTTACCTCAACGTAATAAATCTGTCTCTGCCTAAAAGCCAGCATCATGCTAAGGTGGGAGCTACCAGAAGTATTTAATATGGTACTGGAGGTATTGCCAATGGAATTAAATGTACACATAAATATTGGAAAGGAGATAGCACTAGCACTATTTGCAAATGTAATCAAATTCCAGAAAAACCTAACAGAATCAACTAAAAGCTACTAGGAATAATAAGGACATTTAGTAAAGACTTTTTGCATACAAATTAGTCACAGAAATCAAACAGGAAGACTGCATATAATAGCTACCACCACATGGCACTTCTCATGGGCCACTGTTGTCAGGGTTTTATGTATATTAAGCCTTGTAATCTTAATCACAACCCTATAAGGTATATACCATTAGTATCTCCATTTAGAAATAAGGAAATGGAGTCATAGAAAGTAAGTCCTTCTTGGTCACAACTGGGCAGAATTTGAGCCCAGGCAGCCTAAGCCCCAGAATCCATGCTTTTTACCACTAGGCCATACTGGTTCTTGATACTTAAAAGAGGAGGTGAGGACAATTT